TGCAAAACCTTTTAAATTACAAGAGACAATTACCTCCTGGATTTTAGGCGAATTTTATGTGAGATTAAAATGAAAGATTTTATGTTGGTTTAGCAGCTTGTCTACGTTTCACTTCCCAGTTGTAAATACGTGCCATGTTCACTTCCATAGTGGTGAACTGGTCTCGAACAAAGTCCAGATCATGCTCTACATATCCTAAATTCCTCTTTGCTGCTTCAATATTCTTGGTAAGCATTTCCTGCGCATCATCTAAGGTATATTCTAGCATCACATTAGCACCCAGCCATAAACATACTTTGTCTGTAGGTGGTATGATTGCTTTCGCGTAAACTTGCTCGGATAGTAGAAACTGTGTTTCCAAATTATGGCTATTGTTCTTCTCAATTTGCAATTTCTCAATCATTTCTAACGATCTTTCTAAATCTGGTATCTGTGCCTTCAACCGTCTTCTTTTATTGGCCAAATTATACTCCATAAATTTATACTTCCCATGGTTTTCATCGAACTTCCTGAGTACCTTATCGACAGATTCATTTTCTGGCTTTGCCATAAAAGCCTCCACATCATCCTAAAAATAATATAGTATCTAGTAATATAAATACAGATCATAATTTAATAAAACCAAAGAAAAATATTTGATAGGTAATGAAGGCTTAATAAAGGTAGATATAACAAAATTGTGCAACAACACACAGAGCTGTTTAATCATACAAAGTATTTTTAATTGTATACACAATTAGTGTAGAGTAGTGAGAAAATTGGTCCTGAAGACCATATAAGGTTGGAGTGTTTGGTTGAAATCTCGACCGATCAATATTTATGTATGAAAACTGATTTAAATTAAAAACAAACAGAAGATAAGAGAACTCGCTTTCTGATATCTTATTTATCGAAACTAACATATGTATTTTATATCGTACATATAAAAATATCGAACGAAAGATATGAAGGTTCATTATAGAACGGTTAAAATAAATTGGGTCAATTATTGATTTCTATAATAATTTTGCTTTCAGTTTGTATTCAGTATGTAGATTATACGTAAATATAAAGTGCACTCACTACAAAATCGGCTTCTGGTATGCCAGCATATGATTTCTTATCTTTACCCAGCTCAACTTCTACTTTATTGTCACCGTCTTCCATCTTGAACTTCTTACATACTCTATAGCACCTGAACTCGACGGCTAGCAGAGAGAAGCACGAGAGCGGCACCAACCTGATTTCAATGGGTGCTTTCCAATTGCTTTACACAACTTGACACATACACAAAATCAGTTTATTGGTCGCATATTATCTAAAATATCTTGTAAGATAATATACAACCAATAAATTGGTTTTGTATAATACATAAAACGTAACTGGAAAGCACCCTTTACTTAAGACGGTCTGGAAATAAGATTCGATTATTGCTGCGTTCCGAAATTCACTGCCAGTACTGAAAATTTATAGTTCATGTAACGTATACTATATAGAATTTCAGTACTTTCAGTGAATTTCGGAACTGGAAAGCCTCCAATGGCCAAAGGTTGCGTTCCGAAATACACTGCCAGTACTGAAAATCTATAGTTCATGTTACGTATATTATAGAATTTCAGTACTGGCAGTGAATTTCGGAACGCAGCCAGAGTTAGGTGCTAAAGGCTTGGTTTACATCATGCATTTGATACGCATACTATATAGTAACTTTCTATTAAATAATTTTAATATTGACAATGCATATCAACGACGACGCATTCAATCAATAAAATAAATCTTCTTAATCAATATTATACCAGCTTAATATACCGTTATTTATATACATCATCGATATTAAGATTATCTAATAGAAAGTTACTATTTAATACGCGTATCAAGTGCACGATGTAAATCAAACCAAAGTCACTATGGCCGGTATTCATAGGCTGCGTTTCAAAATTCACTGCCAGTACCGAAATTCTATAATATACGTAACATAAACTATAGATTTTCAGTACTGGCAGTGCATTTCGGAACGCAGCCATAGTCGAATCTTATTCAAGACTGTCTTAAGTAATATCTTAAGATGCGAATACGGCTCTGTGATTGGTTTATGACATCTTAAGACAATACTTAAGATGATCTTAAATATAAGATCTTAAATATAAGATCTTAAATATAAGATCTTAAATATAAGATCTTAAGAAGATCTTAAATATAAGTCCCTATTAGCCAATCATAAAGCTTATAAGTCCTTGTGACCAATAAACGTAGGTTGAATAACCAGAGTGGGTTAACTCAGAGCTAATCGAATATGCTATTAGTTTAGTATTGACATCTGTGTTCGAGGGTGTCGATTGGGGATGTGACCCGATTGACCACGATACGATTGGACACAGATTGTAATGATTGGTTCGACCTGGCAATTCACTAGATAATTCTTTGCATCGGTTGGTTGTGTCTAACCGTGGTCAATCGGGACGCTCCTGTCGATTAGTCATCGCATAGGGAATTTATAAAATCTCTGAAGAAAACTTTTGATATTCCAAAAATTATATATTTGAGGTGCGTTCCATTTAACGTTCAAATCGCTCACTATGCTGTTCCACTTAACGCCCGCAATAATCATTTTATCCTTGTTTCTCACTGGATGTTAAATAAGGATAGAATGACACTGCGATTCATGTAAACGTTAAATGGAACGCACGGGTCGGCGTTTGACCCAAAATGCATTGTTTGACGTGTTATTGAATATATAGTTTAATTAGAGATAAGATATTTTAGGTTAATTAAATGAGAATATGTAAAATACAATTATTATAAGTATTTAATTATATTAAGTATTTAAAAATACAATACCCAACAAACATAGATATATAACAGTTACATTGCCGTAATGAAACGGAATGTAACATGCAATATAACATGTATGTAGTAGGTTATATAGACGTTCGTTGTAATTTCCTACTCACACGTGTTACAATTATATAACGTGAATATAACATAAAAGTAACATGTGACTAAAAAGTTATATAAGAGTTATATGTAATTCGTTAATACATATTTTTTTGTTGAATTCCAATGATTTATTCATTAGTATGGTTCAGATAAGTGATAATGTATGATTATTTTGTCTAAATAATAAAAAAAAAACTGATAATTCATATTCCGTATTATTTCAATTATTTGTGAAACTCGTGGTTTCGATCCTATGTCAGGCGGTCCTCCATTTTTAGATCATGTTGTTCGATGCTTAACTTCAACGATCGTCCGGGAACTGGTGATGCGCCATAACGATATCTTGACAGATAATATTTACAATATACTCTTATATCATTCAAAAAATGTTATATATAACTATATATGACATATTTGTTGGTAAATGTTTGACACGACAATCACAATGCAATTAATATTGATACAATGTTGTATCAGTAATCAAATTTTAACTTACAACGTGCTCGCAAAAAAGAGAGAATATTCTTTCTTTCTCTCTCACAATACTTGGACAGAGTAAAGTTATGATTAGACTCTTTTTGTAAAAACTTTAGTTTTACAATATCGTGATAACGATCCTTGCATATTAAAATATCACATTTTATGTACGAGAAACATCTAAAATATAATTTCACATTTGTGTATAAAAATATTGCACAACTGAAATATAATGCAAATATTAAACTTCTTATATAACATGTTATATTAAAGTTATGTTGCTATTATATTGTTAATGTAACTTAACCAGTAAATAACATAATAACATAACAGTTTTATAACATAGTTATATCGCAATTATAAAGGAAATTAAATAACCTCAATATTAATAACATATAACTGCAGTTATATGTTATTAATATTGAGGTTATTTAATTTCCTTTATAATTGCGATATAACTATGTTATAAAACTGTTATGTTATTATGTTATTTACTGGTTAAGTTACATTAACAATATAATAGCAACATAACTTTAATATAACATGTTATATTAAAGTTATGTTGCTATTATATTGTTAATGTAACTTAACCAGTAAATAACATAATAACATAACAGTTTTATAACATAGTTATATCGCAATTATAAAGGAAATTAAATAACCTCAATATTAATAACATATAACTGCAGTTATATTAGGGCTATCGCACACAAATTGACATAACTGCATATGCATAGCATAAGATCGTATGGACCAATGAGCATCGAATATTAAGCATCGAACACCAATATGACGACTTAATACTCGATGCTCATTGGTACATACGGTCTTATGCTATGCATATGCAGTTATGTCAATTTGTGTGCGATAGCCCTTACATGTTACTCCTGTGTTATATCACAGTTATGTTCTGTGTTTGCTGGGAATGCACTCATCTTCTTTAATTAATAATTAAAAATCTATGTGATTATTTGCAAAATGGTAGAGGATTTTTTTGTTCAATTTGACCTAAAGTATAAGTATACGACGGCAGTCGTCGCTATTATAACTCATTTATTATATCCTGCATGATCATTCACAAATTTTCTACAATTAATATCTCGATAATTATTGCGAATATCGCAAAACGATA